TATGATGGGTAGGAGATTGCTCAATTTGCAACGTCCTCCTCAGAGTCTAGAAGCACTTCGAGAGGAGTTGGTGGTTGCCTGGAATGAGATACCACAGGACCACCTGATCAGAAGCATGCCTAGGCGCGTTGGAGAATGCGTAGCACATCAGGGTGCATCCACACATTATTAAAGGTCAAAGGGCTTTAAAGCAGTGCAATCATTTTGAAATTTTTATCATTTACTTGTTATGCTTCATTAAGTACTTATGCAAAATTTTATTAAAATAAAACCATTTAAACTGGGTGTTCGGATTTATATGTCACTTAGTATACTACCAGCATTTTAACGCCACAGTAATTTCGGAGCCAAGAATGTATACAAAAGCAGTGTTTTTATTATTGCATTTCATCAATAATCATCCACACCCGTGCGTAATAAAACATTAATGTTTGCCTTTGTCCAGACATCTAAAAAAGTACAAGCTATGTTAATAACAGCGTATGAATCTGTACGCCCAACAATGAATAACAATAAAATGATCTTGCATAAGCACGCCTTCTTTACAAATAATGCACAAGCGAGGTCACACCGAGCGCCAAGACGTCGCGTGAAGAAGCAGATTACGGAATTCGGATAACTTTGGGCGGCTTTTGGCACCTTGTTCTCGCATATCATTCGATCCATGGATCAAGGGCGGTTCGTAGGGCACATCCTGAAGCAAGCTGTGTACTTAAAGCGTCGCTTAAAAAAATACTCAATCGATTTTCTAAGAAGCTTTTATAGAGTTTCCTAGTAGGAATGATATTTTTTCAAGGAATTGCAGAAATCTAACTTAACTAACGAAGTTGTCTGCGTTATTCACTATTCAATAAAGTATACAGTATACAGGGTGTCCTTTTTCCTTTTCAGAAACAACTACTCTTGAAATAACAAAGGTAATGTGTAGTGAAACGAGGGCGACCAAGTAAAAAAAAATAAAGGAACAAGTACTCACTCTCCAGTTGACGAGAAGGGCTAAGTACGTCTCTGCCCGAAATCATACCGCTCCAACAGAAAATGAAATCAGCTGATGCGCTACCGAGCAGACGCAGGCAAACAAGGAAGGCAAAATGTTGCGTAAAAAGTATAGGTATTGCATCCCGTCCAATTGATTTGGGAAAATAAATGGTCCAATCAGCATACCGTTCACCATGCCAGCCCAAACGTTCACCGAAAATGTTTGTTGAAAATGTGCCCAACGGACAGCGTGCGGATTTTCTACTGACCAAACATGAGTGTTGCGAAAGTTATTCAGCCCATTACGCGTGAACGTAGATTCGTCTGTCACCAATATGCACTTCAAAAAGTCCGGATTATTGTCATGTTGATGCAACAACCACTCACAAAACCGCACCCTTGCTGGAAAATCGTCAGGTTGAAGGGCTTGTACACGTTGGACGTGAAACGGATCCAGCCCCTCTTCACGCAGCGTTTGCCACACTTTAGTTTTTGATACTTGCACTTCTCTAGCCACGTCTCTAGTGCTTGTTGTTTTTTGAAACGCAATCGATTATACGAGTTCGTTTACCTCTACACGCGTGACTGTAACCATCGGTTGAAGGTTGCATACTAACCTGACACACTGACCCCGACCCAGTTCTGCCGTCGGGTTGAGACCTTATACCAGTCTGGGATATCCCGGCGGGTCGCGGCTACAAGACGGTATTCAGATATTTTTGATGTTGCAGAGCCCTTTATCTCGGTTCCCTTAAGACATTGGTGTATATGGTACTAAGAAAAATTGCTTATGTTTTCAAGATCTACACGTCGTGTAAAGGAAAACCCCAACTTTGCGGACACCCTGTACATACATTTAATAACTTAGTACAACTACAGCAGTGAATAACTATGAGCCTTGATAAAACATCTGGAAGTGCACTAAATCCCTCTATCGCTCATCAATAAAGCATCATACCCAGTAAAGATGCAATAAGGTGTCTAAGCCAGGAGGGAAAAATAGGTTAAGTGGTCTTATATTCCACTTTGAGATAGTTGACGATAAACGTCATCCTGGTAGCATCATATAATCGCAATAAACGCCTACCCACCTTCAGTTAATTACGGGTATATTACAGCTCGGTGTTTTTCAGGAAAATAGGGCATTATGCAGATCAGACAAATAGCACTACACATTTGGCGTTAAAAATAAAAAACTGCAGAAAAAATAATAAATGCACTGTGTATTGTATAGTGTAATTACAGTAATGGACAAAAGTATATAGACAAATTAATATTGTGCTGTATTCATTTTTTAACTTGTTTTATTAATACACCAACCTGTATACATAATTCGTTATAGCATAATACTCACTTATACATAAAGAAATTCATTCAATAAAAAATTAATTGAAAAAAACTGGAACTATGAAGGACAAAAATATAAAGACAAAGCAAAACAATTATAGCAAAAAGAAGCAAAGTTCATTGAATTATAGAAAACCAACCATGTTTGTGTTAACATTTTGTAGCAAAACCATTATTATCAATCACCGCCTGGCATCGTCTCGGCATAGATTGTGGAAGTTTTTTGATATAAGTTTCATCAATCTGTCTCCACTTTTGCTATAAAGCGGCAAAAAGTTCATCCTTGTTTGAATAATGTTTATCTCGTATTTGCTTATCTAAGTATTCCTATAGATTTTCAATGGGGTTTATATCGGGAGACTGTGAAGGCCATTTGAGAACTGGTATTTTTTCATCCAGAAAGAATTACTTTGCGAGATTTGAAGTGTGTTTCGGGTCATTATCTTGCTGGAAGATTGATCTTAAGGGCATATTGTCTTCCATATGGGGTAACATGACATGCTTTAGTATGTCTGTGTATACAAACTTATCCATAATGCCATCTATTCTATGTAAAGGTCCCATACCAAACCCCGAAAAGCACCCACAAACCATAACAGACCGGCCTCCACAGTGGGCAAAGTGTACTTGGGGTTCAATCTTTGTCCACTAGGCCGTCTAACGTAACGAACATATTGAGCTTGGATTCGTCACTAAAACATTCCCTTTGCCTCGATTTCGGCTTTTATTTGTCTTGGGGTTTTAAACGGATCTTTGGACGAAATTACTTTTATTAATCTAACTGACCTAGCATTTAGTTTCCTAGGCCGAACACTTCTCTTAGAGGCTTCCAAGATACCTTTTTGTTTATATTTGTTCAATATTGCCCAAACTGCTTTACGCTTCAGCTTCAAATTTTTGGCAATGTCGACTTGATGTTGACCATCTTTGTATAACTCAATGATCTTAGTTTTCACATCGAAAGAAATTTCTGGAGCACGCGACATGGTCTTAAAATCACTCAACTTATTCCACAATACTTGATGAACACAAACTAATCCTCTTCTGACACGAAACTGTACTAAACTAATGATGAAAAAAATTTGTCTACATATTTTTGTCCCTCATAAAAAAGTGCTTATATTCAGACTTGTGTTGTGTTCATTGCAGATAATGTAAAAACAAGGAATTTAGTTTTTCTAGTAATAACGCATTTGTTTATGGAGCAATGAAGGATGAATTCGTTTTCTAAAGGTATTTAGGTAAATATGCATATTTGTCTATATACTTTTGTCCGTTACTGTACGTTATTAAGAATCATTTGATCCTCGTAATACTGCGCACCTTTAAAACAATATCGTCATGTATGTGTATGATTTATTTTCTATACCTTGCGATGTAGAGTTCTAGGTCATAACATACAATGGTTAATATACCAAGTGATGATTAGATTCCATTTTCTTTTGAACAGAAGTGACCAGTTCTTTTTTTTATTTTTCTATTATTTGAAAGAGAGCCCAGATATTTGCCTATACAGAAATGAGATTAACAGAATGAATTTTAAGACCTGAATTATAAGAAAAACGTGAACCTTGGTACGAAAGTACAGGGTGAGCTATCTTTTATGTCGGCATGTAAACATGAAATAACTTTGAAAACGAAAAGCTGATTTCTATATATCGGGTATTTTTATTAAATATGGTCCTTTACAATTTATTTGTACTACATCTATCAAGTGGCCACCTATATTGGCCAAAACAAAATGTACCCGTTTTGCTGCGTTTTCCACTACTTTTTCGAGCATCTCTACTCTTGCGGTAGTAATGTTTGTCTTGAGTTCTTCAGTGGTCTCTAGCTTGACTTGACTTTTCAAATAACCCCACAAGAAGAAGTCCGGTGGGGTCAAATCCGGAGACCTGGGTGGTCAGTCAATGTCACCTCTTTGTGACATCAGACGTCCAGGGAATTTTCATTGCAGTGTGGCATGATGAAACTAGTAACCATCAAGACCTTTTTCACGCATTTGTGGGCAGACATAATGAGCCAACATCCACCGATATCGATTTCCATCGAATGTTTCGTTTTCGTTGAAGAAAAATGGCCCAATGATGGTTTAGCCAAAACAGTCATTTTCCGGTCATGCAACGGCATTTCGTGGATCTCATGTGGATTCTCCGTCTCCCAAATGCGGCAGTTTTGCTTATTAACGCCGCCAGAGAGCGTGAAATGGGCCTCGTCGGTCATCACAATTTGCTTCCAAAATTTAAGTTCAGCATCAACCATGCGAGCGACTGTTTGGGGGTATTCCAAGCGACGTGGAGGGTCAGTTGGCAATATTTTTTGTGTTAACTGCACCTTATAAGGAAACAAATGCAAATCATCATTCAAAATGCGCAGCAACGTGCTTCCTCTGATGCCAAAATGCTGAGCGCGGAGACGATACGACACTTTTGGGTTCTGGGCAACGCTGTCTCTGACCGCTTCAACCGAACGTCTTGGTCGTTGATGAACGGTACGTTGGCGATCTCCCACTGTCCCGTGCTCAAGAAAATTCGAAACCAAACGACGGATAGTGTTGTTAGACGTTGCGTTAACACAACTGAACGACGATTTTCAATGTACATTGTGACTATTTCGGCGCGTTGTTTCGTTGTAAAGCAATTCACGACTAAAATTATAGTAAATTCACGTTTCAGAAACACGTATAACTAGGGTGACCATATGTACTTTTTTTAGTAGGACAGTACTTTCTTTTCAAACGCTGTCCTATTGTACTTTACGATTTATGAAGTACACCTACATGTACTCTTTTTCTTAATTACACAAAATTTAGTCCTACTATTTGTGAAAACGAAATATAACTATGATTATTGTGATTTGAATTGATTCAAGAATCGATCTTTTGTAGAAGAATCGCCCATCCCTAGCAGCAACCGATCGCAGGTCGTCGTCTAGTTTAGCCGATACGTCCATCTCCCATCTCTGTCTATTTCATTTCGCAGCTAGTATCTCGTCGTATGTTTATTAGATACTTCTGGGCTTGCTGTCGATTAGTCTATTTACCTTTACGTTAAATTCCGGCACTTTTTCTTGTATCTTATATTTTTTTGTGCTGTGTGGAAAAGTAAACAATTTTATCATGTCACCGCCTCGAAGAAAATGCCATTTTAACGCTGAGTTGCAAGCAGAGTATCCATTTTTGAAACAAAAATCAAATGTTTCACAGCATATTGTGTTTTGCCAAGTTTGCAGAAGTGATGTTGATATTTCTAACAGTGGTCGCAGTAATATCAAACAACATTTGTCCAAGAAGAAACACATTTTGGCTGCAAATGCAAACTTGAAGAGCAGAAAATTGGAAACTTTTCTTAAAAGTGACAGTTCAAGTTCTGAAGATAATGTTGATTGCTGCCAAGGAAGGTACTTTTGCTTACCATACAATTAAGCATTTGCAAAGCTTCAGATCCTTAGACTGCACGTCAAAACTAATTGTAAACATGTTTGAACCAAAATTTGCGGCAGCTCGAACCAAGACTGAGGCGATTGTAAAAAATGTTTTAGCTCAAGAAGCTCAGTCCCAATTAGAAATTGACCTTCGAAAAGCAAATTTTGTTAGCATCACGATCGATTCGTCAAATCATCGAGAAATTAAAGTTGTGCCCTTAATGGTAAGGTATTTTGATGGTGAAAAGGGTATCCAAGTAAAATTACTTCAGCTGCGTGACTTACCTGGAGAAACATCAGAGCAGTTGAAAGATTACGTGGTCAGTGCTTTGAATCACCATAATCTACTTCAAAAATGCATCGGAATGTCTGCTGATAACACAAATACAAATTTTGGTGGAATGAGGAGAAAAGGAGTGAATAATCTATTCAGCAAGTTAAATGCTTCTCGTGGCAAACCCGTCATTGGAATTGGTTGTGTAGCACACATCTTTAACAACTGTTTACAAAATGCGACGGACGTCTTACCAATAGACGTCGAGGTTATTGCGGTCAAGATTTTTAAGCATTTCTATATTTTTACAGTCAGAGTGGAGAAACTAAAACAGTTTTGTGATTTTGTTGATGTCGAGTACAAAAAAATGTTGTCGTTTTCAAAAACTAGATTCTTAAGCCTAATGCCAGCCATTGAACGAATTGAACAAATGTTCGAACCCTTGAAAGCATATTTTTTATCGATTGATAATTGTCCAACAGTTCTAAAACAGTTTTTTCAAAACCCAATCAGTGAAGCATGGATGTGGTTTGTGCATAACATTGCGTCTCTCTTCCACAAAGTGATTTTAGATGTAGAAGGTGACAAAATATGCGCAACAGAAGCCGCTTTGGAGTATTTCGAACTCATAAATAAGCTTCAAAATCGTTTAAATGAGTTATATTTACCGCTTAAAGTAAGAGAGTCACTTTCGAAACTTGAGAATATGGGAGACATTGACCGTAGTGTAAACTATCGGGATATCTTCATCATGCATGTCAAGCAGTTCTATTCGAATTGTGTAACATATTTGAAAAACTGGATTGAAAATTTAAGTGAATTAAAGCTATTTGGATGGGTTAACTTGAAAAAACAAGTTTCTTGTCTGAAATTTTGTCGTCGTGTGAGGCTTTCAAGGACTACATAGGTCCGATATTGAATCAGGACGAACTGTTCGATGAAGTTAGTTTAATACGAACCAACGTTACAGAAGATAAAATCGTAGACTGGAATTCGAGAAATATTTCTACCGAAGATCGATGGCTCGAAGTCTTCCAAAAAGAAAGTACTTTGAAAAATCTCAAAATTCTATGCGAGTTCGTTTTTTGTCTGCCTGGGACCAGTGCGTCGCTTGAGAGGTTGTTCTCAAATATCAATAACTATTGGAGTCCCGACAAATCGCAGCTGAAAATATCTACTCTGGAAGCCATCATGCAAGTCTACACAAACTTCAAAGTTTCGTGCAATGAAATGTTTCAGTTCTTAAAGAGTAAACCACAACTTCTGAAGGAAATTCATGGTTCCAAAAAGTACGACTGGTACCAGAATGATGATCAAAATTTTCTGGCAGGAACGTCGAAAGAAAATTAGCTTTTAAAATTAGCTTTAAATATATATATACATAATTTATGTACCTATGTTTGATTTAAAAAAAAAACATTCTCTTATTGTTCGATTAAACAGTATTGCACTGAATTTCCTTTAAATTTATAAATGTACTTTTTTTTGATGAAAAATTATGGTCACCCTACGTATAACCAAATCACTCGGTTGGTAAATATCAAAGTCATTCGATGTTTCAATACCGACATAAAAGATGGCGCACCCGGTATAGAATATTAAAAAACGTTTTTTAATAACTACAACAAACGTTTTTTGGAACAGTGAAATTACTTGATTCCAAGTACCCGTAATCTCACATCAATGTCATTCCAAAACAATTTCGGCTTATGACAACAATCACAATTTACGAAGATGAAATTAGCAACAGAAATATAAGGAAGTGCTCATTATTAAGCATTAAAGATACAATGAACTTAATTTATGTATAGTAAAAAGACAACTAATCTGTCTACGTCTACAGCATCGGCATGCTATCTGTATTATAATGTCTTTCCTAGCGAAAACAATTACCATAAAACGCACGTGTATACAAATTGAAATTGACAAAAGAAAGGCTGCTACTGGTTAATGTTGTGCAATATAATGGAGGTTCAGATGGCAAGCGTCGTACACAATTTCACTTTCAGTTGTTTGTCGGATTTAGGTTCACATTATTAAGCCGGTCACATTGAGAAAGCTTCGTGAAAAATCCCATAAAACTTAGTAACGGATCATTCTAGAAGAATTAATTTCCACTCATTGAGAGAATTATTTTCATTGATCCATACCTGCGGTTATTCAAAACGCATAGATTTTGAAGTCGCTATAGTAATATGACATTTGTATTTTGAAGAGCCACATAACAGTCCCGAACTTGATTACACCAATAGCATTTCAACACGTCAATGTTTGACTGCACCTTCGTAAAATCCTACGTTTGCTTATACACACCATTACCCTAAAGTTAAAAAGCTTTGTAGATTTTGAAAACAGGTCCAGTGAGAGAAAAAAAAATCAGAATTTTCCCACCCAAGCTTCGGCTGCATTCCATGTCTATTCGATTGTTCATCATTTTTGAAGGAGACTTTGGCCATCTGGGAGGGGCTCGGAGATTTCTTCTCCACCTCTCCCTAGAAAGATGTTTGTTTCTCTGACGCGGATGCGTCGGCTGTCTATTCATCGTGGGGATGGAGGAATACATCTCTCATATAGTGAAAGTGCCTGAACCCGGGTCCACCGGCTGGTTCAACAAATCGTGCGACACTGCTCGCCAGCAGGAGATCAAGGCACACAGAACCTTCTTATAAAACCCCACCGAAGAGAACGACGTCGAGTCCAGAAACAAATATAACGAAGCGGTTCGCAATACCAAAGACCAACACGTTATAACGGTTAGGCACAGGGTAATGTCGCAGCGCAAGGCAGTCGGTCTTTCTGGACGCTGGCCAAGCAGACTGAAACGAACTTCTCACAGAGTAGCCACCCACCACTTACGTGTCAGGATGGAACGATTGTATTCGACCCAAAGGCCAAGGCGGAAGTGCTAGCCAAGATCTTTGATGCCAACTCCACCATAGACGTCCCCCCCAACGCTCAAGTACCGTCGATTCAATGTTCAATACATGAATGTGAATCAAAAGTATACAGGGTGTTTCAGTTTATTGTTGCATAACTTTAAGATTCGATAGAACTTTTAAAATTAATGCATAAAGTCTATATAAACATGGTTCGAAAAATGCGTGGCTTCCGAAATACAGGGTTTTTAAATTTACTTTCTAAAATAGTATTTTTTAAATATTTCTAACAATATTTGATGTATAACAGTGAAAAATGGTATACAAGGTTTTTTTGGTACGACAAAACGAACCATGGGCATAGTTTTACAGTAGCCGCTAGAGGGCGCTCTCTACTGTACCTGTAGTGTATTAAAATGACCGAACATTTTTTCTTAGTGCAATTTTTTGCTTTTTGAATAAAAAAACTGATTCTTCGCACTTTTCAACATAAAAAATCTCTCCTGTGAGTTTTCGTTATAGTTAGCCGTTTTTGAGATATTTCGATTTTCAAGGTTCGATGCATTTTTAATTATTTATGGGAAAATAATATTTTTTTTTTACATTTTCGATTTGAGCATTACAAGTAATTAAGATGATCGTTTAGATTGTGTTTTTAAACACAGCAATAATTCCTAACTCCAAATAAACACAAAAAAACAGAGTATTAATTTGTTTAATTTTCCAATATTATTTTTAACAAGTTAAATTAATTATTTACAACTAAAATGCTATTGGATAGTTAGGATAAACATACAAAATCTAAAGTAGTTGCTCGAAATGTAAACCCAATTGTTCAATACACAATTCACATCTACGAATGATCGAACGTGGTATAGCATTATTCAAATAAGGCCTTATTTCATCACATGCATTCCTGATTCTGTCTATTAGCATATCTCTTGTGGTTACGGGAGTCTGGTACACTTTTTCTTTTAGAAATCCCCACACAAAGAAATGTAATGGATTTAGGTCAGGGGATCGTGGACGCCAGGCGACTGGTCCTCCACGGCCGATCCATCTTTCTGGATAATTTTCGTCCAGCCAGTTTCTAACTATTCTCGAATAATGAGCT